CACCCGCGGCAACCTGGCCATCAACGCGGTAAGTGCCACTACCTGGAGATCGTTCGCCTCGCCGCACAGGGCTTTCCTTTCCTTCTGAGCGAGGAGCTGGTGCCAGCACCAACCCGGAGAGACAAATCCACAAGGATGGTTGGTCTCTGCAGGTCGTCCTGCGTGCACAGGGGGATGGGAATTGGTTAGGAGCAAACACCGGCGTGGCTGGCAGAGTATTGACATGACAGCTTTATTGTGTGGGGTAATGAATGCATGTTTTTTCCCTCCTTTAATGAGCGCTTCCTTTATCCTAAGGGCTTGAGTGAGTCACCCGCACCATTGAGATGTTCTTGACTGCAGCCTCTCCACCTGGAGATTAGTGCGGGGCTAGGAGCTGCGCCAGGATGGAGGGGGGAGGGCAGTGAGCAGAGCCCAGTCAAACCAGTATGGGCAGAAGCCCACTGTAACCACTGCACTGGGGGAGCTGGGAAGCAGAGGTGGACAGAGAGAGGAGGTGGAGAAGAGATGAAGAAGAAGCATTGAGTCGGAGAGAATGGAGGGGCTGCCTGAGGAGGAGGAAGGGTGGCAGAAGGACCCTCTGAGACAAGGAGGGGGACAAGGAACAGGTCTCAAACCCTCGGGGCAGCACTGGGAACCACATGAACTGGGAGCGGTGGAGCTCCTGCTCCAACCGTGGCCAGGTCTGGACCCCTCGGAGCAGCGCAGACTCGCCACGGAGGGTTTGAACACTAGGATGAGGTGCTGCAACATGTCTTATTCCTGCATGCTCCACACCCCAAATCAGTCACCTTTAGCTAAAAAACAAGGCGTGATGGCTCAGGGCACTTTGCATTTCCCACGCGCAGCAGGGTTGGGTCCATCTGACAGCCCCCAGTGGTCAGTGTAAAGGCATTGGGACCACAACAGCCCGTCTTACCCCCATGACCTCAGCCCAGCCTTCATCCCAACCCTCACCCTTCGTCCCGTGCCCCTTCGAGGTGGCTGCCGGCTACTCCCCATCCTCTTGGGGAGGTGCTCCACAAAGCATAGCAGGGAAGTCAGGATATGACAGCTTGCAACGATCAAGGGGGAAAGAAACACAAGGAAAAAGGGACAAATCTGTGTGGGGTTCGGTGGGAAGGTGCTGAGATGAGACAAGAAAGCGGATGGAGAGGCGGAGAGCCCCGGGAAGGGAGGGGCTAGGCAGAAAGGCAGATTTTAGAGCATTAAACAGAAAGAAAGATAATTTCTTCCCTTCCAGGGAAAGGAGCAATTAGTCCAAGCAGTGGCCAGCACAGTACCTTGTGCCCCAGAGCTGGGCAAGGGGACCTGGAGGGGCTTCTCG